GGTTGATTTTATGGCTAGCGGACGATCAGGAGAGCAGTTTCTTTTCCTGCAATTTAGCGCAGGCACATCCGGATTACAGGGGAGTTCCTATTTTTGGGTCTTACCTTTTCATGTTTATCATGTTGGCTGTAGGGCAACATGGGCTGATTTGCCGTGGGTACAGACGTCCTATTGTTCACCTCATTCTTTTCATTATCTTAATTTTCCCTGCGCAAATAATCAATCCGAATCTGCTGGCCACACGATGATTGGAATATGGTTAACTTCAAATTAAGTGACGCCAAGTTCCAAACAGCAAATGCAAAACAAACGGATTAATAGGTACTAAGTAATGACGGCTGCCATTTAAGAAAATTAAGTTTTACATAAATTGCCACGTTTGAAAGAAAAGTAACGAGAATATGTGGCAGTGTGTTTATGGATGTGAAAAAAGCTAACCTTATTCCTCTCCTAGACCAGCATTTTCGGTTATTGCACCTACGAGCTTCGTGTGAACATATTAGCTCTACTATGTTGTCCAGAGCTCACTAGTTTACACAAATATCTACCACAAAGGCAGCCTTTTCTAGACCCGATTGTAAGTACCTTGCTTTCAACAATTCCACTTGAAGAGGTTTAAGTGATTTTTCTTAGCAAGTGCTTCACAAGTCGCAGCCGAAGTGGCTGACTACGTTCGAAAATATATTTCGTTTCTTATGTGTTGTCAGACTAATTTTTTCTTCAAATTGGGAGCCAGGGCGTCATTCATCAATATAACCGTATTTACTGGGTCTCGGTGAATGCATTATTTAGGGCATAGGTATTGACTTAGCGATCAAAAACAGAAGCGTTTAGTAACATGTTATGAAGAAGATGTCTGTCTCGTTTGCTTGTACAGAAGTTTGGTTCGCCCTGCTTATAACTGCAACTATTGGTGGGAGGTGTCTTAATAAATACTGAGCGGTTTTTGTAACAAGTAGTGCAGTGATTTTTCGGCTGCTTATTTCTATTCACCTCATTGTCAACCGCAAAAGTGGTGACCTTCGTAACCGCTTCTACAAAGATAAGCAACAACATCTTTCGGGTCTTCAGTGCACTACGCAGATCAAGTCTGCATCGGCCTTAGTGCCTAATATTCGATTAAAGTTACTTTTAACATCGAAATTAGAATTCATTTAAGTATAAATATAGCCAGTATTTCATCAAAGAATGAACCTTATTATAAGTGTCATGACATGACATTGTTAAAATATCCCATTTTTTTCGGTTCGAAGCAGGAGTAAATGCAGTACTTTTTACTTCCATAACTTCAGCCGTTAATGATCTATTGTAAACTTATTCAAGAAAAAGGGCATTTTACCACCAGCTTAGGCTTACAAGGGAAACGGCAGCGTCCCATATGCGCCATGATTTATGCCAGTAAACACCCCAGTTCCATATGCCAAGGTGACTTGGCCGTGATTGCGATCGATAATTCGGACTTCCCCATTAATGGCTAAATCTAGGTGTGCTGGTTTTCGGCAGTTGTTGAGGAGGTTTTCACAATATTTTATTAGATCCCAACAAAGCTAGCATGTTTTTTTCATCAGTGTGATTTCACCGATATTTTACCTGAGATATTTTTTATGTCTTTGAATAATTGGTCAATCACTCGGCAGCCTCGGAAGAATTTGAATTTGCGGTAGCAAGGACGAAACCTGAGTGCAGCTGACGCTTGAATTACGTGAACTTCCATTTCGCTTTCTGTACATAATGCGTCTCCGTCTTCACCCTATGTTGATATTTGAAAGTGCGTTTCAGGGTAATGGTGATGCAAGAAGGCCAAAAGTGCACTATCTCGTTACCCAAACTTCGTCATCATGTCACTTGGGCTAAGCAGGCGGACTTTACTCGGTGGTGCGAGGTAAACATGCAATTGTAGTGCCCAAGAACGAAGGAACTGTGTGAAACAGCTACCTAACTACCAACACCGATCAAAAACGACTGGCATTTGTTTGGCCCAAACACGGTATTTACATCGCAACCATTCGGAAAATGCTCCTCTTAACGACAAAAGCAAAACCCTTTTTGTACGATAGCACTAAAATGCATTCACCATCTGAACATAGCTGACGTCACATCCCTCAGACTACATACCTATTTAGATGGTTAAACGAGGCCCCGTAACTGGCTAAGACTGTATCAACTAAATCTCGCAACATATCATCCCAAATAAGTTTATTAACCAATCCCCATAGGGTCTTTTATTCCATGCACCAGTAGATGAACCACATCTTTAAGCCTTTGTGGTCAGCACGAACATTTTCTTTCTCCCTGAGTTCCTTGTTCCAGAGTGAGAGCTATTTTCTAACACTTATGGTAAAGAACTCACTCTGTAGCCAACTGGGGGTTGATGTTCGACGTACGGCCAGGCAAATCCGTCGGAAATCTGATGGGCGATATTGTAGCGAAAACATAGGTTCGAAACTACGGAAAAATGTATTTTACTAAGTTTTAGCTAACTTGGACATTGTTGTGCATTGGAAGTGCACTAGCGGTGGTAAAATAGGACTGCTAGATTGACCAAACTACCGGCAGACGAACCTACCATCCAGACTGTTGTAGACATTTGGTTGGTGTTGGCTTTGATTGTGTTGCATAAGACTTGTAGGTTTTTTGTAGTAGCTGGTTGACTTAGATAAAGGACCTTCGGATTCCTCTGCTGAGGATATGCGAATTCATATTCCCCTGACTAGGAACCTACTCAGATGGTATGACGTGGCCGGCTAATCGACTATGCACGCTGAGACCACATCAGCGTCCGATCAGACAATGGTCCTCAGGACATTTGTTTACCAGCACTTATCACATGGACTATTCCATGCAGCGCTATAATGTCCGTATATTTAAGTATTACCTGTCCGGGTAAAGATTCCTTGGTTTACAATACATAACTGACTACTAATTTTGTCGTTGTTTATTATTTAGGTTTGCTATTAGTTCACTGTTCCACTTTATTAGTTTAGTTAAATGAAGGTTTAGTTTGCTTTTTAGTTTTATTAATTTTGGTTAAGTTTTTAATTAAGTTAGTTTAGATTACTTTTTTTCCTCATTCTGATATTTTCCAGCCATATAACCTCTATGAACATCGATTTCGTATTACACAGACCTTGGCATTTTTGTTACTGTGTTGTAATTTGTAGGGAATCCTTGCTCCTGTATGCGCTGAAATGACTGTTCACCTTGAGTCCCCTTTAAACGCCAACGGAAAATACATAATCCCTAGCCAACTGGCGTTTGACTTTTGTCTTAAAGCCAGACGAGCCCACTAGAAAGCTTTAATAAAAGGAAAAGCTCGCTACCATGCAAAATTATATTTTGCTGAATTCAAACTAACAAGCAGTTGGCATGCATTCCGGTGGGGGATTATAGCATTAGCAGTATAACGTCTAAACTGAATACGACATTGTTTGGCGGCCCAACGGGAGTTTTGCATTAGCAGGGTACTAATGGAAGAAAAAGAGGAGGGCTAAATTGGCGAGGACGATTGCAGATGAGCCTGATGTCCAAGCTGCCGCGTTGATTGTGGCTGTCATACTTTTGCCACCAGCAGTTAACTTTACAACCAGCGGCCCTGATTCAGCTATTCCCGTCACCATGACATAGTTGACACCTACAAAGATGGGTGCGTTGTTTTGGGTTGCATTCAGGTAACTGAAGGCAGTCGGGCGGCATACATAAAAACCAAAGTCCATCTTACCGTTGTCAACTTTGAAACAATCTTTAGATGGTGTTGCTGGGCAGGATTCTTTGTCATTCGTTGGATCCACTGGGCTACCGACGGTCTGTCCTTCGGAATTCATTAGAACCATTTGCTAAATGGAAGTCAAGAGGTTGGTTTATTTAAAAAATAATGTTAAATAAACGTGAATCTGCAGCACACAACACATTTAGAATTCGTGGGAACAGTTGATACATTTCGGGTCATGCAAAAGGCTAAATCTTTGACTTACGGTTGGCTTGTAATCTAGTTGCACCTTGAAAGTGTGTTCCGTTTCTGTCAAATATTTAATTTCAATTGGGGGAATTGGTGTTGAGCCACCTGTAAATGTAACTGCTGACGTTTTGGCCTTGTCTGCCAGAGCAAATATCACATTCCACACATCTGACATTTACATATAATATAGCAGGCGTTAGTTGACTTTCAATGCATTAAAATGGTAGAGCAATGTAAACTGCATGTCAATATTTCGGAGAACATATTTCGTAAATATTGTTCATACTGAAATTACCGATTGACGCATAGCACACATAAGCGTCCATTGAGGAGCACTCTGGCAAGTTCCTGCCGTTTATTGTGGCCGCCTAATGGGTACCTTGTGTAAATTAAAAATGGTTGCCTACCGATATGTTGACGGGGGGGATGAATCCCGTTTCGATAACAGAACTGACCGGGGAAAAAACATTAACAGCCTGAGATTGTCCTGAATGGGAGAAAGAACGTGTTAATTTAGACTTAACTGTAACAGTTAAAGACATCACAGTATATTACAAAAGTCCACCAGCAGAGCTTACCTATCAGCAGGAGCACGAGTACGAACCTTGGGGTAACCATGTTATGCTGGGATAGAAAAAATATTAATAATGAATTAAAACATTTTATGATTTCGCTTGACTAAAAAACTTTGTTTAGGTGTACAAACATATTTATACATTTTTAAATGCCATATGCGTTCAGCAACCCAATTGAGTACCAGACCTGAGAGACGCACGTACGTGTTCTCTTCAATAAGCAACACGATGCACTTTTTCAATATGTTGTAACTCTAACTTTCAAGTAGTCGGAGTGAGCTGATCGTCCAGCCAGCAGTAGCTTGACTTAGTGTGGAGTGGAGTACGGCAAAACGACGGGGTCCTTTTATAGTGTAGCCTCTGATGCGAGATGAAGTTTAAAAACAGACTAATCAGGCACCCTCTCAGTAAGTCAGAATGGTGCCACCTGAAAACTGTGAGTTGCGTCATCGGTACGGAATATTGTATGTGCTTTGCAGCATTTAGTACTTTAAGTCACAGAAGCTATAGATAGCTATAAGCATATACAATAGATTGCATACCTGATGAAATATGAAGAGCAAAATTTGAGGGGGTGGTTTAACGCACATTTGAGGTTGTGTTTTATGTTCATTGAGTTGACTTGAGGTGCAAAATGCTGTTCGGTAGGAAAGAACTCGGTTTACATCAGTACACTGGGAACAACAACGGGCAAAATGGGGACTAAATACAACGTTTGCCTATGCCCAAATATTTTTCTATGCTATTAAATGTCGCGGAAAAATCTCCGTGCTGTTGCGTGTTATCCTATGACATAAAATTTAAAAAACGGAATTTTTTTAAATTTTATATGTTCAGCTAACAGACAATTTTGTTTTGCGTTCGTGAAATTGAGGTCGGTCCAATTTGACAAAATAAAGGCAAAATAAGTTCAGAAAATGCTGTGCTGCCAAGTTTTGTGCCATAAGAATGAAAAATAAGCTTATAAGGTCGTTATTTGTTCTACCAAACCTTTAATGTATATTGTCAATTTAAAGGGTTACAGCCCAGGAATGCGTATGAGAATTGGATTAGTATTAAGAAGCCAAATCGGTTGTACAATCACTATGACGGTTAACATAACACGCATTTTTGTGAGTTGTCGCGGGATATTGCAAAACAGTTTTCTCAAAGATCGGAATTGATATTTGTGCCACTCTGGGCTGCATTTGTTAGTTTAGAACTGAGCGTAGACGTTAACTTATATAGTAGAAACTGTTTTGGTTTAGGTGGAAAAGTTAACTGTTTCATTTTAACAGATGACGTGTCCGTCATTTTAGGATATTAAAAAATATGATCGTGATTTAATCTTCAAAAAAGTAAAGCACGCGGATATTCGACGCCAACATATAGAACTAAAGGTCTTTTTCAAGAGGTTACTTGTTATGAAATGTTTGTAATCAATTTTAGGTATATTCAAACGTAAACTCTATTGTGCATGTTTATTAGAAACTCATTATTTAGGTAAATGCTTCGAGATGTATTGTATTTTGAAGTTTGAGGTTAACATGTAGAATATAATCATTATTTATGATTAATGAACTGAAGGCAGGGAAAATGGTAAATATTAATAACCATTTTAAGGAAGATTCTGTATCTCTTCGCAATCGAAATGCAAAATAATTACAAAGGAATGTGGCGGAAGGAAATGTTGCTTAGTGCACAAAAAAATGGTACGCTTTTAATTACACATGACAATACCATTTAAATTTATTAGTCCCTAACCGCCATCTTCGCACGTGATCTTATGAAATATATTATTCCTATGACAATCCACTGCCCCATATCAAGCGAAAATGTGGTTGCTTTAGTCCAGCATAACTAGACCAATGCAAAAACGAAATAGAAAATTAGGAATGCACATGAAAGCATGTTGGAATACATACTAGAAAGTTGGGCTGTTCAGTTGCAGCCATACAAAACATTCCACGAAATATGAAAACGCATACATCCGAAAATTTTACGAAACGATTATCTGTCAATGAACGTTTTCTTGTGCTGCTTTTTTACTCGGTGGTTTTGCATAAAAAGGATTCCTCTACATGTAAACCTTACTTTACCCTAGTACACACGGTTTTCACTTTTCCAGAATTTTCTACTTTGCTAGAAAATCTGGTATTTTTAGATAACGTTATATTCCTTCATAGATCACAATATGCCCTGTTGTGAAGAAAGACCAATACTTTATTTTTGTAAGAATGGGTGCCGCAGCTTCATTTACGTTTGAGTAACAGAGAGCAACGTGTTAAAATCCTTTGATTTAATGAGTTAGGTCATCTTCTGTGTGTCCGCTCAAAAATACCTGAGGTCGGTTTCATCTTCCCCTTTCCTTTAAACCATACTTTACCAATTCAAGAAAAACAATATGATATCATCGCAAAGTGCATTTCGCTGAGAAATAAAAAAGTGAATTAACCATCACAGAAAATAATCGAAAACACATGGACAATCCTTTGTTTAGTAACAGCACCACTGACAAGCCATCCTGACGTGCCATCCTCTCATGTTATTAAATTATTATTGCAGCAGAAGTGGTTGCTTTCAAAAAAGGTCTTAAAAGACATATATTTGTGAAACCGGGTGTGGAAGGAAAGACTATAACTGAAAATATTAATATTAAATGGCAAAATCATTAATGCTTCTTCGACCGTGGGAAACGTAGGGATCCACGATGATCAAAGACGCAGCACATGGCAACAATTTGTATCGACTGGCTGGTGAAAAATGTTATCATTTATAAGGGTTCATAGTGTAGATGGAACTTTACATTTAATTCTACCGGATATGACAAGTGAAAGGGACCTTAAGTTACCGGGATAATAATTTCCTAAATGTAAATAAAATTTGTTAACGAAAATTTTCACTGACGGAACTGCTAACGATTCGTCCTACGCTCTTCTTTCCTGTGAAATGCGTAAGTGATATTTTTAAAGTATTATCACGCCAGGTTTCACCAATATGTGTCTTCAGCTGCCTGGTGTTCCACGTTTTTATTCGATTAACTGTCCAATATGCTTAAATTGATGCAAGACGCCGAGTTTGAGTCTTTCGAAGACACAAGATGCATTGAGCGGCCTACTTACCAGAAGTAAATGTCTGTGTGCAGCCTATAACGAACGCATATACCGGTAGACGTGTCATACGGGAGCGGCGGCAATGGGAGAATGGCAAGCAATGGACGAAAGAGGCTGGTTGCGCGCTGGCAATACCAACCATTATAATTTAGGTCAGCACTTCATTATGCAATGTCTCACGTCTGCTTTATTTGTCTACCTACGCCCAAACAAACTTCTAGCCCTTAACCTCATCCAAAAGAAAGCCCTACTTCTAATTTTAGCCCTGAGCTCAAACCTTTTCATTAGCATTCGATCAAGATCGAGGATTAGGGCACTGTTTTCTACACACAAAATGCCCTCAGGTTACTGCGTGGATTATTGTCTATTCGAAAATAAGGAAGGATGGTTGTGACAGATATTGAGGTAATGTTTTCTCCAAAATCGTAAGGAGACTCAGTTAGGACACCAGAAGTGTCATCACTTCGTAAGAAACCTTTTCCTTTTGCCTGGGTTGGCAGCATTCTATAAGAGGATATTTTGCTAGGACTGCGAGCACCGAAGATAATACTTCATTATGCGATGTCTCACGTCTGCCTTTCTTGTCTATCTACGCCCAAACAAACTTCTAGCCCTTAAACTCACCCAAAAGCAAGCACTACTTGTGATACTAGTCCTGAGGTCAAACCTATTTATTAGCATTCGATTAACATCGAGGTTTAGGACACTGTTTTCATCACACAAAATGCCGTCAATTTACTGCGTAGATAACTATCCATTCTAAAATAAGTAAGGATTGTCGGGATATGTGTTGAGAAATAGTTTCCTCTAGAATCTTATGGGGAGTCAGTAATGACTCATTAATATGTTTGTGGGAAATCATTTCTTTTTGCCTTGGCTTGCAGCATTCTATACAATGACATTATGCGAGGATTGCGAGAACTAAAGATAACACTACGAATTAGAAATCTCTTGTGACACCAATTTCCCTAGAGAAAAGAGTTGGGAAAAGTTAAAGTTAAGGAGTCTTGGTACGGTTTACGGAAAAACAGGGGAATAGTTTTACCTTCGGTCATTTGATGCAGGTCCACCAGTCTTTTTATAGAGCTTTACTTCCTAGACCTTACCGATATACGACCATCAGGTTGACTATGGTAAAGGATGGGCTGAAATGCCGTGGACACAGGTGCCTCACGCGTGACCTCCTTCTATTCTCTATCCCTCTTTCA